AAACCCCGCGCCCCTCTGTTGGGGGGCCGGGCTCCCCACCCGCCACACCATGGAACCGACATATGGCATTTCCAACATAAAAAATCGAAAAAAGTGGATAAAAACATCACACGGTGCTGTATAAAGAAAACTTTGATTACATTCGCTTTCTTCTCTTGTTGTTGTTTTCATATTGTTTTTTTTTTTGGGAACCTTTTGCCCTTTATCAGACTCTACTGATGTTTTTATGTTCTAGATTATGATGTAACCACTGTGTTAGCATCATACAAAATACGTTCCGACTTACGGCGAAAATTATTTTACGTCGCCTCAGGTAAAGAAATTCCGATGGAAGTCGAGGTAATGATGAAAAAATGTCAAAACTATAAAATACTTACATCCATCCATCCATCCTTCTTCGTTCACTTATTCGTTACCTGGTCGCAGGGGCAGCAGTCTCCACGACCGCTACCCAAACCGCACCGCACCGGCCCCTCATGAACCTTGCTGCAGGTGGTGGGAAGACGCTAACCGCCCTAAAATGATTTATTTAAATTGAAATAATAAGATAAAAACAACAACAGGTTTTACTAAAGATAAGCTCCAAGTTTTAGGTAGTAGCCACGTTTAATTAGCGTGGATGCTAGGTAGCGTGTGATTTTTTTTTATTTTTGTTGCCTTTTTATTAACTCTTCAGGGAATGTGTTCAACGATTCTTTCATATAACCGAACAGAACAACAGGAGTTTTCTTTCTTGGGTAATTTCACCTCAGAGGCTGCTGTCAAACATTGTTTCTGTCCACTGGAACCTCGTTTATTGCTGTTTCTGGTTAAATGAAGAGAAAAGAGAAGGGAAAGGGAGACGGCGGAGAAAGTGGTCATGTTTAATTAATTGATCAGTGCTAACGAGCACAGAGGATTAGTCACTTTTTATTGAGACTGTCAGCGTGAAAGGGAGAAACTCTACAGAGAAAATTCATCAGACGCTTGGCTTTCTCCTCGTCTTTTCTGTAAGGAACACACAGTCGCGGTGAGAAATGAACGGAAAGAGTAAAGAAATCACTTTAAAACCGTTAAAAACACCCTGTCAGAGGCTCAGACAGAAACAGTCAAACACCGAAGAGAACTTTATTTATTGATGGGTGTTTTAAAAAATGTTGCTGTTGACTGCATTTTTCTGTTTGCTATTTTTGGAGTTGTTTTTTTTAGCAGCTATATTTCTTCCAACGTTAGCAAATGCTGCCAAAGTGGAATTTTTTTTCTTTTTTTAAATTTCATGTAAATAATGTCTTATTAGACTCTGTTTGCGATTCTGCCACCTACATGTGCCTCTGTACTTGAGCCAGGCAGCTGGACATGGTGCCAGACTGGGTCTAACTGAGTGCAGCCCCAAAATTAACAAAATAAAATGGAAAAATTGTTTGCAATTCGCTAGTACAATTGGGAAAAGTAGACGGCATTTTCAACCACTCAATCCAGTGTAACCGTTAAGCGTTAACCCCGCCCACAAATTCTGACCATTCTCAAGTTCTATGCAGATGATGTATGAAGAAAAAGCACTGTTAATGTCAGTGCTAATGGGAAAAAAGTAAAGTAGTGCCTAAAAGTAAAAAATATTTATAAAGGCAACCTTCATAAATGCATTTATTATAAAAGCTGAACATTGCCACCTGAAAAGTTAACCTTAAAGTTTAATATACAATCATTTTTTCTGTGATTAATCAAAACCTGGAGTCAGACCTTGATTTTTTTTTACTTATTTTTTTATTTTATTTTGAGAAGGTAATTAAAAAAAACATCATTCTCTTTTTGAATTTTTCACTGCTGACTTTTTCTTGTGTGTCGGACTAAAAGTGAATTTATTCTGCTTTACATCGTTTACTTTTCAATTTGTTGCCTTGAAGTTAATCCTCTTTAAATGAAAATGTCAGCAGAAGACAAATCATCTATTATTCTTTATCTAACCTTTGTGTTTTTTCTGTCTACAGAATGACAGTAAAATATGATGAAAACAAATAAAAACAAACAAATCAGCACTTCTGTAAAAAGAGCCAAAAGAAAATGGATGCCATACAATAAACAGTGTTTTTCTGACGTACAGTAAAGGCCTCGTCCGCCAAAACATAAAAGAATTATTGCCTCCTAGCTTTTGCAGCTAACACCTGAAGTCATCCTTTTCATTGACTTTGACCTTTTGTTTCTCCTGCAGTGGTTTGGAGACCTGGTGACGCCTGTGTGGTGGGAGGACGTTTGGCTAAAGGAAGGGTTTGCTCATTTCTTCGAGTACGTCGGCACAGACTTCCTCTTTCCAAAGTGGAACATGGTGAGTAAAAAGTCCAGAATATTCCTCATCTCTACAGTATGTACATGTTTTCGAAACTTTGAATTTGGGTTTTAGCAGAATATTAGCAAGGTAGCTTGACGGTTAGCTGCCGTTTTTATGATTTTTAAGTAATTGTTTGGGTTTTTAATCATCATTTGACATTTTTTGTCTATTAATGGCTTATTTTACTTTCACTTTAAGAGGTTTATTTTAGCTCTGCTGGATTTCTTTTAATCTCTCATTCATACCTAAGAAGGCTACGCTACGCTAAGCTAAGCTAAGCTGTCCCCTTTTTCACAAGCTCTGATGTTCCGGAACAAACCTTAGCTACAGTATATTTTGGCCACTTCATTTTCTCAAATTCTCTCCATGACAAACATTAGACTAAGTTAGATAAGATATTTAATTTGACCAAGTCTTAGATTTATAACTTGGTAATAGGAAATTAATAAAGAATAAAATAATTATTTAAAAAAAGGAAGGAAGTAATAGTTAAGAGGAAAAACTTTGACCTTTTCTTATACATTTTTTAAATATGTTTTATATACCTTTTGTCTTTTTAAAATCTGTATTACTCGAACACTGTTAGCTGTCGGACATGTTATAAAATGTAATTTAATCAATCTTAAAATAACACATCCTATGTGGAAAAATATATGAATATCATCTCCTCAACGGAGGCCTGGCTGGACATTTTATTCTCAGGTTTTGATCGAGTTAACCTTATATTTCGCAGTGATTCATCCGGTTACAACACACGTCATTTGAAATGTCCGAGCGATATAAAAGGAACTCAATTGAAACAGAGAATAAAACTACTTTATCTCAATTTAAGTAGAGGAAAACTGTAAGAAATTCCGACAGAAGTACGATCGTTTCCTGTTGCCCCAAGGCAGCGTGTGCAATTTCCCATCAAGGTACAGTATGCCGTCGCCTCAGAACAAATAGGCATTTTTACAGGTTTTTATTTTCCCTCAGCAAGTAATTTACAATATTAATAAGTAGGATTCATTCATCTGTTACTGTACACACACTTTTTATAGAACACAAGTGACGCTGATGTCTTCGGAAATACGCGGTAAAAAGCCGTTTCAACAGGGCTTCCTGAATTTATGATAAATTAAAATATTCCAATAGGTCCCCTATCTGCTGTGGTTATTTTTTGAAGTATCGTGTACTGTATATAAAATGATGCATTGTAGAGAGGTTAGGAACAGGAGACTGGGTTCTGATGTCTGAGAGCAGCAACAGTTCCAAGATTGTTAGAACTGGGGACGCTTTGAATTACTTTCTCATGTACAATTCTTCAAACTCGAGTACTTTGCGTGATCTAGACCTCCCAAAATTACCATACATAAACAGTACTACAATGACTCCGCTCCCCTTTAAGAAGATACAACAATCCACAATGTGGCTGCAGCTGTGCTTTATTTAAACTTCAGGCTAATTTACAGCATTGTGATTGGTCACACAGACTCAGCAGCAGCAGTTAAACATTATACATTCAGTTGAGTGGTCGAGCTTGGCACAGTGTGGTAAACATGTCAGCAGGTTGTGCTGTCGCCGGAGTCGGCTGTGTTACAGTACATTTGTACAACTCGTAGCTGACATGCAAACAGTGCTAGGCTAATCATTAGCCTAGCATTGGTTCAGTATTGGTTGGATGTAAAATGCTGGGCGACATAATTTTAATGAAATGTTCAAGAATAAACGTAAACGTTCACATTTGATGGCTGTCTCCATCTAGTGGCAACAACAATAATTACCATAATTTGCGTGCTATAAGCTGCTACTTTTTTCATACGCTTTGAAACCTGCGACTTAAATAATGATGCGGCTAACGTGGACACCTGCGGCTTATATATGTAGAATTTTTTTTATTATTATTTAGTGGGTGCGGCTTATACTTATACTTGGTGGTTTATACTTTGTTGAGATTTTTTGTTTTTGCTAAACAAATTTAAATGTTCGCTGGATTAGCATCGGAATTCAACAAAGAATTGTAACTTCTTCGCCCCGCATGAAATTGACCTCTGCGTTTTACTCGTCCAGAAAACAATTAGTAGCGACTGTTGAAACCTAGCGAAATGTTGTATTTTCATTTAAAAAGTTTGGTAAAACTTGGAATATCGCAGTAACTTATTTCGTCTTGGAACAGAAGTTGAACCAGGAAATGATTGTGTCTCCACCTGTTCCTGCAGGTAATATTCTGCAGGCAGATTTAATCCTCTTTCATTTCCTTCGGCTCCCGTTAGCAAACAAAGAACAAAGGGAATCGACGGGGAAAAACAAGAGCGAGTCGACACCGAACATAATAAAATTAGAATAAAATTCATCCCTTTGAAAAAAAAAAAACCTCACACTCAAACTTTTCCCCTCAAAACCTACAAGGAACTTTAAATGAAAGCCAGCTCCTTCACTCTACTCCTGCTTTGTTTTTCTGATTTACTCCCAGCACAAGTGCAAAAAAAAAAAGAATCCAGAGCTTATCTGGTGCAGCAGAGAGAGCGTGTTACAGTGACGTGGCATTTTTAAACTCTTCTCACCGTGTTTCTGCTCGGCCGCTTCCTCTAATAGAAACAAAGTGGTTCTCCAATGAGAGACACGAGGCTGATGAAAGGCTGCGTTCTCCGTCCCAGCACTGGTTATTTATCAAGAATTCCTCGTTTAAAAAGCTGCGCAGGGAACACGTGAAGATGAATCATTGTTATAAAAATAATTATGTTTATTGGACCAAAGTCTATTTGTCCCAGTTTCTCAGTGTAAGAATGGCAGACAGATATTTCAGACACTTGTGTCGTGGAGTTTAGAGTTTGGAGAAGTCTAAAGGTCAATGGGAATATTTATACGTCTCTATGTAGCCGTGGCAGAAAATGTAATTTTTAAACCAACAATGAAGCCAAACTGCTGCCTCCATCAGTCAGTTCAAACCTGGTATTCCATGACTTTACTTTTCTAAAAAAATCTTTTGTTCACATTCACTTAAGTAACAAACTCCATGTGGACTCCTTGTCCCTGTAAGCTAAAATTGTTAATATTCACAATTCATTTTAGCGTGGGAGACATTGAAAAACAAAAACCAAATCCCATCTGCTGTCTGTGCATGGAGTCAAATTTTCCATCGTAATCCTCAAATTCGACTAATAAACATTAATTACCTTAAGGTCTTTTCTCAACCATTTAAGGACATGAATATTCAGTTGCCTGATCTGCCTTTAACATGAATATTTCATCATTTTGATTAGCCGAACATTAGCCTCACACGGTTTTCCCTGCTGGAGAACACTTAACCTTTGACCCTTGGCTCCCTGCCTTTAAATACGGAGCAGATCTAGTGCATGGAAACAATTACTTAAAATTCATTATACATGTACCGCTAAAGCCGGGGGCAGCAATAAAGTATCAGGAAAAATATTTAAAGTTCAGGGTGGGGCCTCGGTTTACGAGGTCTCCAACTTTTCAAGCCATGATGGCTTTATATATATATATACATTTTTTTTGGACATTTTTTGCCCTTCAATATGTCTCCCGAGTGTAGGTCAGACTGATGTTTTTGTTCTTAGATCATGATGTTAGCACTGAGTTAGCATTGGTGAGTCACATACGTACTTAAGTACATTATGTAGGTTACAACTTGCGGCAAAAAAACGAGTATACTTAAGTACATTATGTAGGTTACAACTCCCGGAAAAAATCAAGTACGACGTTGGAAAGTACTCCCTGTATACTGTTGGATTTTTACAGTATCTAGAGAGGAGTCCAAAGGCTTCAAAAAGTTCCAGATCAAATCAGATTTCCAAAGGTCTGTCACGATTCAAGGCCTACACATTATGAAACATGCAAAGAAATATGAATTGTGATGTGAATTCAAAAGAAACAAACATTTTGGTTTTGCAATTCATAACCTCTTACAAACCAACGTCCATGGACTGAATCGATGATTTAAGCTGACAGCGACAGCGTCGGTGCTAATCTGATGCTGCCGTCAAAGGTCTGTTGTTGTCATCGGAATAGGAATGGACAAAGAAATTCAAACTTTGGTCGCAAAGACATTTGAACGTAGCCATGGAAGCGTCAGTTGATCAACAACTGCTGTGTCTTTGAGCTAAAAACATCGATTCACCCTTTGAACTTTGGCTGGACTTTCAGATCAATAATACAAAACCTAGCCGCTAGCTCACGTTAACTGTTTTGAAGATCAGGACAGAGGAATTAGCCGTAGCACAAAGATGAAGGTTTTGCATATGTGACTGTTGCTACACAACCAATATGAGTCCATCTGGCTCCTAATGGCCATATGGACCAGGTTCTTCTGTCCCTCCTGGTTTAGTTCAAGCGTTCATTAAATCAGATGTCTCACGCTGTCTCATTTATTATAGACATGTTGTATAATTCCACTCCACATGAGCCATTAGGATAATTTCACTAATTGTGTTTGTAATTTGTGATGAAGTCTCCTGATCGTGCGTCCGGGTTTAATGTGTCTGCAGCCGGGACTTAGACTCATCTATTGAAGGACTGCTCAGCCAATGAACACACGTGTTTTTCAGTAGATTTGTGTTTATAATTAACAGTGTTTGGTGTAAACACAACGATTCTTTAATTTCTTTTTTCATTGTGTTAGAAAATACGCACTCAGTTCTCGAACCTACATTAACTTTTATTGTTTTTTTAACTCACTACTGTTACTACTTTTATCATTTCTGAACAACAAATTATTATTTATAATTATACCACTTGTCCCTTTTTTGGGTCAGGCACGAAGGCCTGAGGGCGTGATACACCATACACCACATGTCAAACTCATGGCCCGGGCTTAAAAAGGATTTGATGAAGACCATGCAGCAGAGTTTCTGATCCCGCTAAATTAAACAGGGTTTTTTTTTTCTTACACAGAAACAAACTTTTTTCAGAAATTTCAGAAACATTTCTCAATTGCGTTATGGAGGAGTTGCATCAGTTACAGCCGGCACTGTCGTCCAGTATTCACAGGGCCACATTCTTCTCTGACTTCCCCACGTGTCCTTAATTTAAAGTGTCCAATTACCATAATCCCCAATGTTTTTGGACGTCCATCAAAACCAGACAAAACTCAGGCACAGACCCTGCAAACTCTCTACGGGGATTATCAGTCACCACAAGGGATTGAACAGGTGACGTTCTTCCTGTAAGGCAATGACACACACTTTTCCATTATGTGGCCAATGGACTAATTAAAAATGATAACAAACCTTTGTTGCAGGCCTGATCTTAACCTACGCAATATTAGAACTCCAGAAAAAACAACTTTTAATCAGACCCCTGTGGTGATTTTAGACACATTCACGTATGAAAACCAACCTTAATCCTGGTTTTAGACAGTGTCACTGTGGAACAGGAATTAGCCTCATCCCGGCAGCTGCTGCTAATTTGAGAGAGAAGAGGGAGGAAAAAAGAAAAAAAGTCTGGTTCCACTTCATTAAAATCTCAAACGTGATAAGCCACAAATTCTAGTGCTCAACAAGAATGAGGTGAATCTCCACAGTAAACACGGCGATCCATGAATTAGACCAAGCCGCACTCCGCTTGATTTAGTCTGATCCCTGGGGTAATTCAGCCAGAGCTTGTTAAAGCCTGACATGTTTGCAGATGTCTAATAAATCCAGGAGCTAAAGATGACCAGACAGCGAGACAGGGGAGACACAGGGCAGAGAGACAGAGGAGACGGGAAGTCAGAGAAGACACAGAAAGGGGTTACATTCGGTGAAGGGAAGGAATTGAAGAAAAATTAATAATAATTACTAGGATTGACTCTTGTGGTTTTACAAGCCTTAATAATTACTTGAAAAAAAATTGTTAGTATTAGGTCTGATTTTATAGGACAAATGTGATAAGTGTCAGGGCCACATGGGGCGGAGGTGAACTTTCGGGGGTTCTCATGTTTATGACATCATAGACCTACGCCATTTGGTGGTGCGCGGTTCACCCACTCCCATAAATTTATTAAAAAAGTCCTAAAAGTTCCTAAATTCTGTCGTACGACAATAGAACAATTTTCACACAGGAAGTTAGCGCGCGCAACAGACGAATACATGACCACGCTGCGATGTACTCTGAAGACGGCTTTTTTCGCCAGTTGTACGCTAGTACTGTACGTAGGATTGTGCTACAGACGCTTTCTTTTGTTTGTGTAGTTTTTTGGGGGAACTTTTTGCCGTTGGTGTTTTCACGTCCGAGGACTTGAGTCGAGGACATACAGGAATAAATTCGGAGGTTTACGAGAACAAAGTTCAAAGTTTAGAGAGTTACATACATTTATGAGAATAAAGTTTAGCATTTTTTTGTAATTTTGAAGAATAAAAAATGTTTGAATGGAAAAATGACAATTCTCAGCGACATGATGAAAGGCTATTAAAAAAATTATTTTGTAAAATGTTTAGGTTTTTTTTCTATAACATAAGAGCTGTATACTGTGGGTGTAGTGTTCGTCCATCTCTTCACTGATTTGCTGTACCGCAAGGTTTCTTTCATTCCTGCACAATGGTGGGAATCATTTC